TCTGTGGCTACTTCCATTATTTTTCTTTATGAGTTTCTTTCCTCTTTTCCTCTCTGGTCCCTCAAAAGTCATTTAAAAGTATATAGATGCTCCTTGACTTATGATGGGGTTCCCCATTGCATGTTGAAAATATCGTTAAGTCAAAAGCACAGGATATTTTCAGTGTACAATGAGTTTATTAAGATGTAGCCCCATCATAAGTCAAGGAGTATAGTGAATGCACATATGCGTATCGCTTTCGCAACATTGTACAGTTGAAAAATTGAAAAATCACTAAGTGGGACGTTGTAAGCAGGGGACCATCTGTACTTCAAGCCAACAAGTATTAAGTGCCAGTCGGTTTCCCTCAAATCTGAAATTGGTTAAAATGCAGGAGGGTGTGTGTGTGCGTGTGTGTCTGTGGTGGGGGAAGGAAGATGTACTAATCTTAAAAACCATGCATTGCTTGAAGAGTGGCCCAGATTGTGTCTACTCCATGGGCATGATCTATGTGTCTTGGACTAATTCTAGGCCTGGCTGTGATGTTAGCCAGATGGGTGACCTCTACAATTCCGCCCAGGGCCAGGCCTCTTACGGGAAGGAGAAAGGACATGATATTTATGAAGAGAAAAGGAGCCTGATCTAATTGTTACGTGACTTTGTGCTAAACTGAACTCTGCACTTCCCCCAAGATGAGTTAGAGAGCATCCTAGCGCGGGGAAGGTTTAACACAGGTTTATTGCCATCTTTGGAGATAGGGTACATGAGCTGTGGTCATAAAGAGGGATTGTTACAAGACAGACGGGTCAGGAGAACAAAGATGACTTATCTGATCCTGACTGCAACAAAGGGGCAGTTATGAAACAAGGTATTCGAGTTGCCTCTGTTCTCATTTAACTGGTAGCATGCCAATTACATGCCTTCTTAAAGAAAATAATAAGACGATGCTTTTTAATCAATTAAATTTGTTTTTATTTGTTAGCCTGTTACCATACAGGCTTTTGGGAAAGGTGTTTCACATTCTTAAAACATCTGCATAACACCCCTAGAAAAATTACTCACTAATGTCACTGTCATGGATAAGTTACTAAAACAGCACCTATTAACATTGAGGGGATCCACAAAGTTTCGAAGCGAGATTGCTCATTTTTTCTGTTGTAATTCCGTGGCAGTTTGCCAAGATATTTTTAACGGGGAACTCTAGGATTTGCCAGAGTTAAAAACATCTGGGTTTATTTGATCATTTCATAAAGATGATAAGTAGCCAAAAAGACAGCAGGGAACATATCTAAATAAAGGAGAGAGAGAGCGAGAGAATGAGTGAATGCCTGCAGGCCCCGGTGGTGCACCAGATCCCGGCTTGCTGACTTAATGACAAGCCTCGTGGCCATCCCTCCACCAGTGAGCGTGGCTGCGCTCTGGGAGTGACCTGATACCCCACAGGTGAAGCCACTTGTACCCACGTTGGGACTGTTTCTTATGTGGCAGTGCTTGTCCACTGTTCACGGTTCACAGCGATGTAGCAGTAAGCACCATACCTTGAGCTCCTTTTCTTCGTTGGCCCTTTAACTAAACAAATTCTTGTCGACAGACAGTGTCTCTTGCTGAGTCTTCAAAATGCTTCTCCTTAGAAATTTAAAGTTTGTTTTGCAAGATGGTTTCTTAAAGCCTTTGGATATCTGAAACGATATTCAAGCTAGTGTTTTGCCAACAGACACTGGCTACTGTAAAATCTGCAAAACAAGGATAACTAATATTCATTCGTGTGTCAGGCCTGTAACGTTTCGCCTGCATTTTCTCATTTATTCTTTACAACAATAGTAAATTCATGGTACGGTTATGTATGTTTTGCAGGTGAAATGAGACGAGAAAACTTAGGCTAAGAAAGCTGAGCTTGCCCAAGTTGTATAGCAGGAAAGTGACTGAGCCCTGATTGAGACTCAGCCTCTCTGACCCAGTGCTCTTATCAACTATGCTGCAAAAGCTGCTCATTAGCACATCCAAACATTAATACTATCATAAAAGCAACGCAAATGTGAACTACCCAGAGATACCTGAAAAAATGCATGGGATAATATAAAAAGAAAATGTTCAAATTTTTATTGAGAGACATAAAAGACTTGAACAAATGAGAGTATCCTGTGTTCCTGATGAAAGACTTGACAACGTAAAAATTATCACTTTAAATTCAACCCAATCTCTTAAAAATCCCAATGCACATTTATTTCGTTTGGAAGAATAACTGTGCTCAAATAGCCAGGACAATTCTAAAAGAAAGATAAAGAGCAATTGTACGATGGCAAGGGTGCAGTGGGTGGTGGGGAAGTTTGCAGGAAACACGTCATGCTTGGTCAACAATTGAACAGTGCAACCTGGAACAAATACGAATGAGCATTTCATAGCGAGTATTATTCAATAAATAGTCTTGGGACAGCTGACTGACATTTGGGGGCAAATTTAGAGCTCTTTATATTAGAATAGACTCCGGATAAGTTTAAATGTTAAAAAGAAAGAAAAAAGCCAGAAAAAATATAAATACAGGAAAATATTATATCACTTGGAGGAGGAAAGTCTTATGACACACCAGTCAGAAACCATACCATTATAGAAAAGGATAGATTTAATCCCATTAAAAGCTCAAAATTTTTGAACTTCAAAAAACACAATAAATAATTAGAAGATAAACAACAAACTGGGAAAAAAGTTTTACAATATATATGCTCAACAAAAAATGATTATTTTTAATACACAACTGATAAAAAGATAATTGTCCCATTTTAAATATGAGCAAAGACCGTCAATAAGCAATTTAGCAAATGATGAAACTGAAATTGCCAATTAAATGTTTGAAAAAATGTTTATTCTTCATAGTGATAAAAAAAGGAAAAGTAGATACAATACCATTTTTATCCATTGGACTTACAGAAAAATGAAAACAATAATATCCACTGTTGGAGAGCATGTGGGGAGAAGGATATTTCCCTGAAGGGAAGTGTTGGGAGAATATAAATTGTACGAAATGTCTAGGGAATGGGGATAATTTGACAAAGGGCTATAAAAGCTTTAAAATTGCATAAACTTCAACCTAGCATTCCTCTTCTAGGGATTTATGCAAAGGTCACAATTGAAAGTGTGCAAAGATGTAGCAATGTTTATAATAAATGAAAATTTTAAACTGGAAATAGCCTAAATGTTTAACAATAAGGGATTAGCAAAAAAAAAAATTTTTTTGGTCTTGTGAGACAATGGAATGCTATGTAGCTACTAAAAAGATATTACGTATTTATTAGGAAGGAAAGATGTTTATATGTGAATGAGAGTGAGAAAAGCAGATTTCAGAACAATATACATAATACGATCCATTTTTGTACAAAAAGAATAGATATCATTATCACAGAAAAAACTTTGGGAGAATAAATACCAAAATGTTAATGTAGTGAGATTATTAGTATTTTTGTTTTGCTTATTTGTGTTTTCTATCTTTTTTATTAATTAATATGGACTGATTTTATATTAATTAACTTTAAAAATCACTTCAGTTCCAACAGCTGGACACAGATCAGTGTTGTGGACAAAAGATGCCTTTGCCCTTGCAGTTCGGCTCTGTATTAAACTCTGCTTAGAGTGGCTGAAATTTCAAGATAAGGCCCCAAAAGGAAAACAGGCCATTCAGAGACTCATGTTCTGTAGAGATGGACTCCTGGGTCTTCGAAATACTATCTTGCTAGCACCCCATTTCGAGGAAATGAAACCTCCTTGGCCAGTTTAAGAGTTATTCAGGGTGACATAAGTAAAAGGGGTTGTTACATCTACCCTTTAGATAAAAAATTCATTAATTTTCAAAAATTTCTTAATTTCTTCAATTGTCAAGGCTTCCATTTTAAATGTTTTGATATAGTTTGTCCATTTGTTCACTTCCCTGCCTCAGATAAAATTCTGACCTCCCCCCTACCCCCTCTCCAATTGTTCTTCCCTCCTTATCATAGCTTCTTCCCTCATCTTCACAACAGGGACAAACACCACACGTGAAGGTACACATGATGTCTCCCCTCCCCTCTCATGGATGGATCTACCTATCAACAGACTGATCGATCTGTCTTCTATTTGCCCGTCTACCTGTCATCTATCTGTTTATCCACCCATCTACCTATCTATCTATCTGACTTGCTTCAAAGTCCTCTTCAGAAACACCTGGTGTTTCACTGAGCAGGAGAGCACTGGGGTAGGAGTCAGAAGAATTTTGTCTATTGCAAACTGTACATATCTATGAGCCAAGGAGATACCAAATCTATTGATCATTATCATTCCCTGGAGACAGAGGTCACTTGAAATGGAGAGCTTCTAGGATTTGAGTGAGGGGGCACAAAACTAACAGGAGAAGCACAAGGAAGGGTGAGCAGCCTGCTTTCCGGGAGACTGGGGGAGGTATGGCCTCGGTGTGAAGCCAGATACTTGACAGAGACAGCCAAGTTAGAAGCAAAAGCACAAATCAGCCAACAGCATGGTCATGTTCAAATACCGTGTCCATAATTTATGTCTCCTCACACCCCAAGATGCCTGATTTGAATTCTAAATGACACCAAGAAGGCACCTCCGGATCCTTTGTAGGTATGAACAGAACAGGCGATTGAAAACATGCCAGGACCACAAGCTCTTGAGGGAAAACAACACATGGAAAACATTTTTTTTTAAAAGAAAAGGCAATTTGGCATATACTCATAAAGAAGGGGATTAGATTTAATTAAAGGGGGAACCCCAACTCCATCTGGTTCTCTCCACATCAGCACTGGGGAGGGATGTTGGAGCGAGGGTGAGGGATTATTTCTTGGCTTTCAGGAGTTTCCTCCTCAGGGATCAAATATAAAATTCAAACTGACCTTTGTTTTGGAAATCACATGCTGGACACTACTGGCTTCCCGACAGTTTATGTTCTCTTAAGTCACCTCCATACTGGAGTGACCAGCTCTCGATAGCTTCTTGGAAATAGACTGTTACCCTGTTTTGTTTTGTTTTTCTTACAGTGATAATGAATCCTAAAGCTGCATGGTACTGATGTTTTCCAAGAGAAGCAGCCCTGAGGGAGCCTGCTGGGCCAACAGAGGATGAAGAGGATAGGAATTTAATTAATTTCAAATCAACATAGACACAAGAACCTTTTGCTGTTTCTCCCAACGCCCACTCTTCCTAATGATGGCCTCACCTGTCCTGGGAAGAAGGTGTGGCTGAGAAGCACTGGGAAGAGGCCTGGCTGCCGTCCACTGCTGCCTGCTGGGTGGGGGACGAGCACGCGACCTGTTCTCCCTCCTCTCCACCCACGTGTCGCTGGACCCGCTCTGGCCAGGCTAAGTCCCTGTTACCTTTCTCTTCATTCCCGTGGTTTACATCAGGAAGCTGTGTTATCCATGCTTTCCTTCTGGGCCACCTTATTACCTAACTAGCTTTGGATAATTTCCTCTGATTATTCAAGTTCTGTTACAGGTAGATTACATTCAGCTGGAACAAATTTTCCCAAGGCGTGTTATGTCACAGACAGGACACCAAACAAAGCAAGCTTTTCAATGTCTGCACCTTGCCAGCAGGGTGGTGAGCTCCGCTGGCCAAAAAGACGCTGCCAGAGAGTCCACAGTCCCGATGAGCTGTTGTTTGGTGACCTGTAGACCCTGATTAGCCAGGTCCAGTCACCCTCGGGAACTTCTCAGAGGAACTAGAATCTTCCACGAAAGAACAAATGTTTTCCTCAGCTGAAATCACCTCTACTTGTCAACATTTCCCCAAAGCTCTTTGTTGTTTCCCCACACCTCACTGGAGTGTGATATATGGGGAGGGAGTGTGAGCAGGGGCGTCATCTGTCACCCTTCTGTGTCTCAGAGATCTCTAAGGTAGTTTGACACAAACAGAAGAGGAGCAGGAAATATCTGTGCCTGTGGCGGATGTCACTCACTGTGCTCAGCATTCTTTCCCGCCAAACTGGGATAAGCCTCATGTCCTCAAACAGCACTCCAGGAGGTCACTGTCGGGCCATCAGCAATGACATCCTATGTGATATTGGTTGACATCCTTGTGCTAAAAGCAATGGCACAAAATGCCGGAAGGGCCCATAGACCACTCCCACTCATATAAAATCAATCTCCACTTAATCCTTAATTTTCTAATTGTGACCTTTAAAGCAATCTAGCAAATTGGGAGTCCTCAGCTCTCCTATAACACCTGATATTTTATTCCAGGACAGAAACAAATAAGGAAAACTATTTATTTTACTACCCACATATAACCTGAGGGGAGATGGGGCCAAAAAACATTTGCTGCTAAATTGGGGGTCCTGTGTTTGAAAGTCTGCCTTAATGCATAAAAAAATTGCCCCTCTTCTACTTTTTAGGATTCCTTTAACAAGTTTTTGCCTTCTGAACTATGCCGATAATTTTAAAGGCAGAGTTAAAAACCAGAGAGGCCTTTCCATACCATGCAAGATAGAACTGTCTGGCTGTGTTTAACCACTGCTATGATGCTCTCCCGGGACCGCGTAGAGTAGAGACAAAAGACTCTTCATGGCATGTAACTTCAACAGATTTGCCTGTCATATTCTCGTCAGCACATCCGAATATGGCTTTGTGTTTTCACGGCTGCCTTGCATGCTCGTATTCAACTTGTGGTCCACAGTTGACTCTCAGACACTTATGCCAAAATCGCTGTTTTCCGAATCATGACGTGTGTAGTTTTCTGCTATGTTTACTACTTTCAGTTTGTTTCTCATCAACATTTTGACTCTCAGAAGAGGCTCTGTATCCTTTTTCTCTCTAGGAAAGGGAACACTCAGGCCTTCAAATTTGATCCCACCCTATCAAATAATGAACTGCACAAGCTCAGAGAAGTATACAGGGTCCTGGGATCTTACTTTGATGAAGCTGTTCTTTCTGATATGATAAAAATATTCTCACTCAGTACTTTAAATAATTTGAAATCCCAGAAGAAGCAAATTTTAGCAACGTGTCATTGAGTTTATATCTGACCAATCTATGATGGCACAGTGTACAAGGCACTTTTTAAAAAGCGGGTATATTCTGGCAAGATGTATGAAGTTAGTGTGAGTCAAAACAGTCCAGCGTCAATTCTAGCACCCTGTGTCTTTTTATGGTTATTCAGTCAATAGGCATCATGTATTTATGACAAGTTTGAGAATTGCTTTTAAGCCCAAACCTAATTTTATGTTTCAGATTATTGTTAGTTAAAAAAAAAAACTCATTAATTTGCCCTAATTGGATAGCCAATGAGAGCAAAATCTGACTTTAAAGATCTGTAAGTTTTACTGCCTTTTTGTACATCATAAGCAAACTAGGTGAACAGCATTGCCCAGTTGGACTCCTCAGGAAACTTGTTTTAATAAATATGTAAAAATATCTGTTTGTGACTCGATGATGCGACTTCTCTCTCTAGGAAGGGCGTTGTTATCCACTGCGCACACAGCCTGGATCGGCCCGGATATATTCGGGGTGGCAGATGCTTCTGCTGTTCACTGCAGCTCCAGCAATTAAAAAAAATACTTCTATCTATTCTTTTATTTTGGTTATTTAAACCATCAGTTCACACCATCTCTGGGAAAAGGCCTTCTGTTGAGTAAACATAAAACGTAGACTTTAGTTTCAGCTTCTGTGAGAATTAGTACCAATTCGGAATGTAGTGGAGTGGTAAGACACGGCTTCACACTGGGAAGACACTGATGAAATTGTCACTGTCAGGAAAACATTGAAATTTTATGCTGAATTAAATGAACACGTGACATTTTCACATTCGGAAGGCACTCAGGACGAGTTCTGGGGTTTCTATTTCGTAGCTACAACAGGCAGTCCAGAGCAACTTCACTTACAGTTGCATTTCTGAAATTTCTGCAATATGACAACAACCAGAAGAATTCCTGCGTGTTAATGGGGAGTGGAATCGGTCAAATTGTACAACCTGAGCAACCAGTTGCCTGAATTATGTATTTTTTTGAGCAGCTCTTTGGCTTTGCCTTGGTACTGTCTCATCTGGCACCAAGATTTTATTTTCCTCTTAGTCCTCTTGGGGGGCGGGGGTTATTTGTATGTACCTGGTATTTTATTTTGTTTCTTTTTTTTTCATCCTACTACCTTTTCTACACAACATGGAGCACTCATGAGATAACAATCCATACAACTGGGCCAGGTGCGGTGGCTTACGCCTGTAATCCTATCACTCTGGGAGGCCGAGGTGGAAGGATCACTTGAGCTCAGGAGATGGAGACCAGCCTGGGCAAGAGCAAGACCCTGTCTCTTTAAAAAAAAAAAAAAAATCTATACGAGTACATAGAATAAAACTTTCTATGAACTCTGTATATGCTCTATGCTCTTTTTGAATGATATTTTAAAAAGTTAAATTTCTAAGCCAAAGTGCTTAAAATAAACACAAAGACTTTGATTGCAGCACTGTACGAGATTGGAAGTGCCATGTACAACTGTTTAAGACAACCAAAGGTGGATGGGATTTTTTGTTTTGTTTGTGTGTGTGTGTGTGTGTGTGTGTTTAACGATTGGACTTCAGGTGCAGATATCTCAGGTAATCATACTCTTCAGTTCATCATACCACATTAGCACCACTGGCCTTTAGTACTTTGTACATAAGTAATTGGACTTTTACAAAAAAGCATGTTCTTCCAGTTTTCATTTGTTTGGTCTACATGTAAAGGACTAACCAAATGATCTGTAGCTACTACCTTATGGTAAGCAACATTTTTTCTAGTGTAAAAATCAGTTGAGAGTGAGCATTGTATGACTCTTAGATGAAACCCCTGCAATTATAAATAACATCAGGAACATGTGAAAATTCTGCATGTTTAATAAATGCTAGCTTTCAGGAAGAACAGGAATTATAGGTATTTAACAAGTTAAAAAATAATCTGGTAGATCAGTAATAATATGTGTGTATCTTGTATTTAAAGTTAACTGAAAAGAGTGTAAAAAAATACTGTGTTTGGGTCTCTTTCATTTTGCAAGCAATGCAAAGTGGTTCCTCAGGAAGTCAGTTAGACTATCACATGTCATATTTATCACTTAGCTTTTGTCCCAGCAATATATAAATTCTACCTGGAAGCCTCATATAAGAAATGGTCCCATCGCTACTGATTAGAACTGACTTGTAAAACTATCAAAGTTTTAAGACCGAAGGTTTTTTAGGTGTTTTTCTCCCACTATGCATGCTGAGAATAGTATACATAATGATATTTTTCTTTTATGATTTACAACTTTATAAATATCAGGTATGCATGTACATATTTGTATAAATTATTCTATTCTCAGCTGCATGCTTCTTTTAATAAAAATAAATAAATACATACATGTTCATATGCTAAACTGCCCATTCAGCAGTGATGGATTAAAAGTATTTCTAAATTTAACTGGAAAATAAAGCACTATAAGATAGGAGGAAAGACTATCTCCTACACTAATCTCTATGTAATGAATGAATATCAATATTTAGAATAAAGGTTTATTTGAAGGTAAGATATTTGTTTACTAAAATGTTATTTACTAAGAATTCAGAGGTGAATATGCATCTTTCCAAAGAAAAATTCTTTTAATTTCTGTGGCTGTGAAAAATAATTGTTACCTTCATAATTCCATTCTTTTGATCCATATGCTTCTTTAAATAAATAAAACAATGCCTACCAATTCAAATGTTCTTAAAGAATTGGACCTCCTTTATACAAAATTGTCTGGCATAAAAGTTCATTGGCTTTTCTGCATATCTAGAAGATATTATTATACATTATTGTCTTTATTCGTCCTTATAAAACATTTTTAAATGAAGGAATGAAATTTTAATTGTTTATGGGAATGTAACTTTAAAAAACATTTTTAGTAAAAATGGAAAAATCTTAGTGATAAAACCTTCTTTTTCCTGTTTAGTCACTTTTCTTCATGGCTTTAATTCTAATCTCATCTTCCACACCTTTAGATTACAACAGATCAGGGCTGAATGGCGGAGTCATAACACACAGACAGTGCAGAGATTTCCTTGAATGAGGATGCGTTCTTCCAGGTCACGAAGACTAGTCAGTATTTTGACAAACAAAGCGGAGGAAGATTCCTCCAAAAGGTCCCAACTAAAGTAAAACCTGGTCTATTTTGGCCTCCATATACCCCTAGAATCTGTTGCAGAGTTTATTTCCCTCCTGTTTTAACCAGACAGAACTTAGCCTGGAGATGGCTTGGACCCAAAGAGCAGACAGTCCCACAGAGTTAGAGAGTAATCATCTTGCCTAGCATTCATTTTGTGTATCAGTTAGGAATTAAATTCAGCTTCTGATACCAGAGGCACAAAATAAAATGGTTTTAAACAAGACGGTTTCTTTCTCCCACGTAAAGGAATACTGAGGTGAGCTGGTATGGCAGCTCCGTGGTCATCGAGGAACTGAGTTCCTTCGGACCCTCCCACCGTCACTAGTGCAGGCCTTCCATCCTCAGGGCTGCCATGTGATCCGAAAGCTCTAGCTCCAGCATGATATTCATAAGAAGAGGGAGGGAACCAGCACAAGGGTGAGCCTCTCAACCAGGTCAGCCGCTTTTAAAGAGCTTTCCTGCCAGCCCAATGAAACACTTCGCCTACATCTCACTGGCTAACCTATATGCAAGAGAACAGGCAACAGTAGTCTCTGTGGTTGGTACATTATCACATCCAGCAATAAGGGGTTCCATATCACAAAGAGCTAAAGAATCTTGGGTATCTGACAAGGCAGCAATCCTGGCCATAAGGTACTAAACATACATTGTCTCATTTTAATCCTAATAACATAAGGTAGGTTTAGAGAACTTATAACTTGTCCTGTGTCTCCTCAAGTTCCAAGCACAAGCTTTTAATCCCTGTACTAACTGCCTCCCCAATAATTAGCAATAGGGAAGTGTTTGAGAAGGTGTCAGCCACTGTCGAGGAAGCCTGAAGGTGTGCACAGCCTGAGATAAGAAGTCACAGAGGCTGCAGGCTGAGATAAGAAGAAACAGAGGCAGTGAAGGCAGGACCCCAGGCCCAGAAGAAAACAGCCAGGGCTTGGAATAGGGATGATAAGAAAAAAGCCTAGTTTTAGGACCTAGGTACTGGTAAGGGTTTGGTCACGGGGTGTAAAAATGAAATTCCCACTTACTAGAGCTGGAGTAAATAGGATATTACCCTCTTTAAGGTTGCAGTGGGGAGGTCTGCCCAGGCACTCTCAGAAACAGGTGTTTAGTGCTAGAATTTGAAAAAATTTAAAGCAGCCTGGAATATCACCTCTTTCATAACCACAGTTACTCTGGCTTTCAGGATACCCAATCCTACCCCTACATAGGACTTGCTGAGAACGGGAAAAGCGGCACTGCTTGGCATTCAGCCTGAGCACAAGTGGCCCACCTCTGGATGCATCTAGCATTCGTACTTCCCAAGACAGAAAATCTGATTGAATGGGTATTTTAGCCAACTATGGCTGCCTCACAAACCACCTCAAAACTTAGCAACTTAAAACAACAACACTCATTTATTTTGTTCGGGAATCTACAATTTGGGTGGGGCTCAGTGCAAATGACTCCACTCTCTTCCACATAGCATCAGCTGGGCAGCTCAGCTGGGGCAGAGGGTTCCACCTTCACGTGGCTCACTCACATGGCTGGCAAGTTTGTGCTGGCTGTTGGACAGGAGCCCAGCCAGGTCTGTGGGCCGGGGGACATAGTTCCCACCATGTGGGCCTCTCCATGGACTTCTTGGACTTCTTCACAGCATAGTAGCTGGATTCCAAGAGCACGTGTCCCAAGAGAACAAAGTGGAAGTGCATGGCATCCTAGACTCAGAAGTCACGTAGCACCACTTCTGCCATACTTTGTTGTTTAAGGCAGTTACAAAGTCTACCCAGGTTCAAGGGGGAGAGGACATAAACCTCACCAGTCTTTGGGAGGGGTGTCAAGGTCATATTGTGAGACAAGCAAGTGGGATGGGGGAATTGTTGCAGGCATCTCTGGAAAATATGATCTGCCAAAATTGGTGTGTCTCCGTGCAATATGGAGGAAATATATTAGGTAATCTCATGTCAAGTGACCTCACAGATATTTGACTCCACGGATTCCAGTGCCTGTGTGGACAACTTTCATGTGGATAGAGACCCCTAGTTCAGTAATCTGTGGTAGGTGGTAGAAATAGTTTTACCAACTACATGAGACATGAGCTATGCACAGAATGGATTGTCGGTGGGTCAGACACATAGAAATTTATGCCCACACTCAGTACATAAGCTTAAAACTGGAGCAGATTAGATCATGAGCACCTTGAGGGTAGGGGTCAAGTCTTGTTCATCTCCATATCCTGAAAAGTGATCGGCAC